TCAGGAAAAGAAGCACAATGTAAAGAACAGACATACTCTGACTTCTCTTCAGTCTCCAATCTCCCATTAGAGGTAAAAGCATTTTGACACTGCCTAGGGAAGGCCACATGTAGAGAACCACAAAAAGGGAGCAGAGCAGAACAAGAAGAAACAGCAGACCAGATGCAAACAGGCTACAGACCAGGATAGCCCAAGGGAAACTAGGAGTGAATTGTTTCTCAACTTGCATTTCAAACTTGTATTTGTACTGACCGTGTATTAGGGATGGAAGTATAAACATGGTCATTAGAATATTGGCTCATGATGACTTCTGTTTTGGCCCCTCTGAAATAAAGGGATTGGTGAGAATTACACACTGTGAGGTTTAGCATGGTTCATTGAGTAACCCTCTACTTTGGAATCAAACAGATCTGCTTGTTTGACTACTCAGATTCCACAGTCTGGAGCAAGTCACTTTTAATTTTACCATGACTTGACTCCTTTTTCATCCCTGACATCATCTCATAATATTTTTGCCATTATTCCTTGGTTCCCATATTTGGTTCCATACTGCTTAATTAATAAATTTTGTTAAACAAATCAATCCCAGTCCATCTGCAGAAACAGTAGTATATAAGTGATTACAAAGAAGAGCTTAATTATTAAAGCTTTCCTTCATCTCCCACCCTTAACTCAAGGTTAGTGTTAGGAGATAAGAAATTTGGGACCTCCCTGGTGGCATAAAGTGTTAAGTCTCAACACTATCAAGATATGAGTGCTTCAGTCAATCTGCCTGCTCTGCTCCCCACTCTGCTCTGGTGAATCCACTCAATGGCCCCTCCACCTCTGGCCTATGCCCCAGTTCTTGTATGCAAAAATAAATAACATAATCTGTTTTTTAAAAAGTTGAGAAGTTTGCCAAGAGTAGGAATGGTGTTGGAGTACACAAGGAAAATAAACACACTTATGTGCAAAGATCTGGAGAAATGAATTGGAAAAAAACATCTAGAGAACTACAAGTATAGAAACAACAAAGAATAACATTTAAGAGCAAGGTTTCATACACATGGGATGTAAAGGGAAAGGGGGTTTATGTTTGATACAGGAGTCAAATCATGACTGAAAAATTTCAAAAGATTCCTACAGTCCAGATATTCACTGACATAAATTTGTTTGTTTCTTCCCCTATAGTCTTCAACCTGCTCCTGCAGTAATTTATTAACCATATCTTTTATATATATATATAACTTCTCAAGAGGATCAAAGCAATACTTGAATAGGAATCTGAATTTTCTGAGTTAAAGATAGCAAAGAAAAACCTAGTTGCATTTAATTTGAAAAGGTAAAGGCGTGGGTGTGCTGCCATATCAAATTTAATTTATACAAATCATCTCTGATAACAGTATTTCTCTTGATGTGAGAGTTTAGACTATTTTAGTAAAGCTTGATCTCCCTGTCTAGCTAAACACTGATTCACTTACAGCAAGCTTCAGCTAACATTGGTCACATAATACCCAACAAATCCACAAGGTATTAGTTGCACACGATCTTTGCATAAAAGTCCAGCTGAGATTCAACTCACTCTACAGCTTTCCCCAGACAAGGCAGTCAACCACAGGTGAGCATCTACAGTTACCAAGTGGTGGCAGTTACTTTTGATATTGCAGATTTTTCAGGATCTGAAATCTTGAGTTTTGCAAATACTGTTATGTAAGAAATTTGTATTTGTTAGCCAGGCTTCTTAAATATGGTCAATCCACCGTACTCACTAGTAGTAAGCAACAGACATTTTATAGACCAATTACTTGGCCTTTGAAAGTATTTTTTAAAGCAAAGATGGGCAACCACAAAGGACAATAGTTATGAAATTTTAAAAATGATAAAGTGATTTTGTAGTACAGAATTATCTTTTTCTTTTTTAAAAAAAGTCTTTAATGAATAGTCTTTAATAAAATAAATATGATTATTTGTCTTTAAATAAGATGATGATAATTATTTGTCTTAATCACTTTAAGACAGTCATTAATAAATTTGTAATTTTTAGATACTTTTCTGCTCAAGCACTGATACTGGATTTGGCCAATAGTATGTTTCTACTTTGATCAAAATAAAAAAAATTTTAAAAGGAAGAGGATAATAATTTTTTTTTTTTTCAAGAATGAAAGAAGTTAAGAAAAAGAAAAAGAAAGAACTTGTCAAAGCAAAATCTGACTGGGGAAGATGGGTAAACCCAATTACTTGTGGTTTGGTTAACTTATAAAACAACTGTAACTCTGTTGATTTTTGGCTTCTCATGCGCTTCAATTCTTTATTTTCTAGTCCAAGATGAAGTCACTCCCATTTTGCTTCCTTTTCTGTTGCTGGAAAGCAATCTGCGGCAACAGCTGTGAGCTCACCAACATCACCATCACGCTGGAAAGAGAGGAATGCCGTTTCTGCATCAGCATCAACACCACGTGGTGCGCAGGCTATTGCCATACCCGGGTAGGAGCTAACTTCGCTGTGCTGAAGTGAGGGTGTTGAGGGTCTGTTTGGATGTGAGTTTTAGTGAGTCCCATTGTATAAATATTTTAAGTTCCACATAGTCATGAGTCCTCTGGTCAATTATCTCGGTGATAGGATGGGGTTAATGACCATATCGATTAGATGTTTGGATTTGGAGTTGAATAGAGTTTTAGGAAAGCTTCCAACTTGATTTGATTAATGTAAGCTGCATTTCAAAAAAAAAAAAAATTATTTCAATGCTAGGTTTGATAGAGGTGAACATGTAAATATACATGTTTAACAGGACTATGTTCCCAAAGTATCCGTTTCTATTATTGAAGCCATATTTTTGCAGTGAGTATGTATTCAAATGTTTCCAAACCATCTAAAAATAGTCATATTATAAAAATTGCCTTACAGACCTACCTGAATACAATGCCAATAAGCAGCCTAAGAATTAATCATAACTTACATACTCTTAGAACTGAAATGAATCTGCAAACCGACTCATTATAACATTAAGAAAATTAAGGCACAGAGGCATCAAACCACTAACTTATATTCACATACTTTCTGCACAATTCAAGTAAAGGAGCAGTTTCTACTTGTTTAACATTTTGTCCCTATAGCACCTAATTATCAATGCAGAAATTTTATCGTAGAAACTGAAACTAAAAGTTGAAAATTTTTAAAGTAATTATTTGATTAGGTAGCAAATGAATTTGATCAAATCCCACTTACTGCACAAACTGCTGCACCTCTTGGGATATAGAAATAAACAGCAGAACCAATTTCTTCTCTTGGTGCAAACAATTTTTTCACTAGATAGTGTTGGAACGAACCTGTTTCCAGGAATAAAAGTTCCTATATGCAAACCATTTATCCTTTGAAACAGTCTTGCAGTGTTGAAGGGTGTGAATATTTAAAAGCTTACAGGCACATTCACAGTCATATTATGCTAAACACACAAGGACAATATATCTAGAAACACTTTATGATGAATTTAACTTCAGTATTTTATGTTCTAAGTTCTCATTTATAGTTCACCCTGACCTGCAAAGGATGCATCCCAAGACTCTCCCAGTGACTGTCTGGAGATATGAATATTCCCAAGCCCAATATATACAGTATATTTTCCTATATACACACATATGCATACTCATGAGAATGTTTAATTTTCATATTAGGCACAGTAAGAGATTAACAGAGATAACTAGACATAGGCTAGCTCTAACCAATAAACTATAATAAACAGTATGTGAATGTGGTCTTGCTCAAAATATCTTATTGTATGTAATATTTTTGAAACATGGCAGTTGACCTTTAATAAATGAAACCGTGGAAAGCAAAACTACAAATAGTGTAATTGGAAGCTGGGGGATGGTATGGGGGAGGGAGGTTGACTACCATATAGACACATTGAATAGGTGATTATAGATCAAACACAAAAAGTCAACTTGAAAAGTCTGTCATATTTCCCTTTTAGCCATTTTTCTATTCCAGTTTGGAAAATGATATAGACATAAAGAATAGGAATAAAAGAATGACATTTTCTCTGCAAGTTGCAGAACAATAGGAAATGTGGTATAACATATAGATCACTAATGAAATCCTATTTCCTTGGCTAGGAATTCCATAAGTGAGCTTTTATAGGTGAGTGTTAGAACAGTCTTAGGCAGTATTAAATTCCTGTTTCATTTTGATTAAGCCGAATAGAAACTTGCAAAATATTGTACCTAACTCATCTCCTTCCTAAACTCCACAGGATCTAGTATATAAGGACCCAGCAAGACCCAACATGCAGAAAATCTGTACCTTCAAGGAGCTGGTGTACGAGACAGTGAAAGTGCCTGGCTGTGCTCACCACGCAGACTCCCTGTACACCTACCCAGTGGCCACTGAGTGTCACTGTGGCAAGTGTGACAGCGACAGCACTGACTGCACGGTGCGAGGCCTGGGGCCCAGTTACTGCTCCTTCAATGAAATGAGGGAATAACGGGCAGGGGACTTTTCAGACGGCCTGCTCTTGCCCTAAAGGACCGAGTTACCCAACAAGTATCTGTGGGTACCACTGCCCAGGCCACAACACCAGGGGCCAGGAACCAGCCCACCCTGGTCCTGCTCTCTTGGCAGAAGAGGAGCCCCAGGAATTGAGAGTGCTGGGGTGGGAGCTTGTTACCACTCTAGGTCTTGTTACTATTCCTAGGTCTGGTCCCATAAGTTTTATTAAGTTTGAACTTAAATCATAACAGATACATGTGTACTTTCCCACTTAAATATCTTAGAAATCCTCTCAAGCAAACCTGCCCTCTAGAGACAGGATGCCTAAGTCCAGACAGGGGAAATGAAGTTGGGAGTGGGTAAACATACTAAATGTAGCAGTCTTCTGCTATATGAGCTCTCAAGAGCAGGGCTAGATTTTCACAAGTAAAGCCCTAAAACTTAGCATTTTTCCTGGAATTTAGAAAGAGACTCAATACTGGCTTCCTTAAGGAAGGTAGAATAAGACAGGCAGGGTGTAGGAAACACTGGAAGAGGATGTTTTAGACAGGCTGTTTAGGTTGTCCCCAGCAGAGTGGTCAGTCCATGGAAATAGGGGTATCAGTTTCACCTCATCTTTCTTCTTCTGGCCAATGAATCTCCCTGAATTGCTCAGTGCAGATTAGGGCCCAGGGGATACCGTATCTAATTTCTCAGCTACTACCACACCCTTTAGTTAAGGGCAAACATAAGAAATGTCAACGTGGATCTATATTATGTAGGGATTTTACCTGGCAAGAAATTGAGATGCTCTCAGGCTCCTGCAACACTCCCTCTTGGGGAAGTAGAGAAAAGCTACATCAGCCTGCCTTCCAGGTCATGACCTATCCTTTAGAGAGAGAAAGATTTGAAAGTAGACTTGAAAGCAATTTTAGCAACTTACTAAGAAAAGTTACCTTACCTACAAATAACATTTATGTAAGGAAATAGCTTTTTTAGAAAGAATTGGTGGTGAGAAAAAAATTTTAGAATCCTGTCTATATACCTTTTCTTTTGTCTAGCCACATCTTCCCACATCTGTAATTTCAAGAGGGCATATATTGAAACTGTTATCTTGAGTTGTTTCTTTTCAAGCCGTTATCTTTCTTAATTTTGCACTTGTTCCACACTACTTTTCAACTATTTATTTAAATATTATTTTTTTAATAAAGATGCTATCATACATTTGGATTTTTGCACATACAAGTAGATAGCTTACACATATGTATATTTATAATATGAGTAGAATCTTAAGACATATTCCTCACAGTTCTGTAAATATTACCTGTCTTGCTTCTGGAAATAATAAAAAAAAAATTCTGTTGTGCTTCTAAAAGTATTTCTTTATTGAAAAGTTCTGTTACTTTTTGAAGTAATTTTCAGATGTAGTCAGGGAGGTGGGGGGCAAGGGAATGAGGAACAAAAAGAAAATCACAAAGTAGGGACACTAGAGTTCATTTCCTGAATTTTTGAAATAGAAAAATTGAAACTTAAGAATTTTAAATGACCCACCCAAGGTCACAAACTGTGATCTTGGTGAACTAAGACAAAATTAAGATGCCAGTGCATTAAAGAAATAAACACTGAGTTTATGACAGTAAGGAAGAAGACAATGGATTTGAATTGGAGATATTTAGGGAACCTCAAACTATATACCGTTTTAATTCTTAAATCTGAATAATGAGTTTTTTATAACATAAGTATATATAAACCTGCGTGAAGGCTAGTCAGTTGTTTTTCTTTTCTTGTAGACAAAGTGTTTGCTGTTTGACAACTGATAAGGCTTCTTTATATGTTTTGTACATTTCATCCTCATTTTATACCCACTAAAAGAAGGTGAAATGTGCCATAAGCCTATGGTTAGTTAATATATAGTTAGCCATTGTGCAGTCTCAGTCATTAATGTCCATTTAGACACTAAGGCAGAGAATGCAGTGTTTCACCAACATCTGTCCCTACTTCTCCCTGGCTATAAAGCTAGATTACATTTCCCAGCCTTTCCTGTAATCAGGGGCATCAAATTATAGTTAATGGCATGTGAATTGAGATACTTTTACATGCCATAAAATCCTCTAACTGTAAGAGGAACAGTGAGGAACAATCTCAAAGCCAATGGGGGCTACTCACAGCTGAGTTAATGGTAAAAGGTAGAGCTGTCCAGACCCCACCCCTGACTCTCTGAAGGAGGGTTGCTGAGAACAAGAGCACAGTGGACCTGCCATTTGGATCTTAGAAAGTCAGTACAGGTTGCCATATCTCTTTTAGACTTCTGCTCACACTCTGGTCTCTGCTCAGCTGACATGATCTGCTGATATAAAAGACGGCATCATGCCATGTACCAGCCAATAAATTTTCCCCTTTCTCTCTTAGGTCTCTGTTTCCCACTACCTATGTAATTAAATGCTCTTAATTTATTTTTTATACATTTTCTGTCTGCTTTTGGGTCTTTTTTTTTTTTAATCTTTAATAGAATGGGTGAGGACTCACAAGCCAGGTTATGCTCATTCCTTTGGGTTTGCATTATCACATCATTTGTGATCATGCATCCTCCTCTTTTATCAGCTGAATGTTAACACTCAAAGTGACCTTTGATCTCTGTTGATAATAGCAGAGCTATTGTCAGTCTGGATTCCTGGATGCAGCAACACCTTTACCGAAGATGCAAGAACATCTATTAGCCCAATGCCTGGAATGACCAGAGTGCCCCCACACACCCATATGCCTGCTCCTTCTGAGAGGATTTAATGTCACAAGAAGTAAACTTCTCTCCTATTAAATCACTGAAATGCAGGGATTTGTGCCTTGTAGTTAATGTAGTGTTAACACTAGTCAACTCATAGTTCTAACTACTGTAGAAACCCACAGTGTTTAGGGAACTACAATAAAATGTCTCATGTGAATTAATATAACCTATTCAATTAGCTTCATATCAATATCATTTACATATATACCATAAATCACCAGCTTCTGATAAAAAAAAATGTGATTTGCTCATACTGAGCCTGGTTGTGTGTGTGTGTCTGTGTGTGTGTGTGTGTAAACAACCTAAGTGAAACCTATGTCTTTGGGATGAAAAACCATCTTATCTTGGGCTTTTGTTTTTGCTAATATTTTATACACCCCTCTGGAGCCTTCCTATTTGTTATATGGGATGCTGAC